TACAACAAGGCCAGGGGCCAAGTGTGAAAGAGACCACCAATTGCTCATATGCAAGTTCAGGTGGAAACTGAAGAAAATGAAAACAAGTCCTTGAGAGCCAAAATACAACCTCAAGGATACCCCACCCAAATTTCGAGAACCTCAAGAACACATTCGATGCATTAAACACTAATGGCAAAAGACCCGGTGAGCTATGGGATGGTATCATGAACATCCTGCATGAGGAAAGCAAAAGCTCATTAAGATGGCAGGAAAAAGAGATCAAAGTGGATGTCAGAAGAAATTCTGAAACTTGCTTTTAGCGAAGTGTGTGGTTACATACTTTTGTGTCAAAAGTGTAGGGGTGGTGGCTAGCCTGTCAATCAGGTCACAGCCTGATGGTGAATCCTTGTGGGTGTGACCTTCTCATAAGGAGGGTACTGGGAACCTCTCTTGGCCTTCACCTTCCTGTTGATGAGCCACATTGAGACCTGCAAGAGCCCCAGAGATGTATCTACCACCATTGGGTCCACAGGACTTTGCACCCACCAGCTGGTGATGTTCCTGCACTCTGCATCCTTGAGTGTGGCTTTATGAGTCTGAAGAGGGACTCATGGACTAGCTTCCGACATGCGGATTTAAGTTGGACTGGGCTGGGATGTTTTCCTGATATACAACTACTTCTTGATATAAAGCTCTTTCTTATACACATATGTGTGCCACTGGATTTATTTCCCTAGTCAACATGGCCTAATACACTAAGGCAAATGGAAGAAATAATAAAGTGGAAGAACCGAGCAAAAAATTTCAAAGAGTAGCTTGAGAAGACAAAGTAAAATATTATAACAAAATATGCAAAAGCCTAGAGTTAGAAAACCAAAAAGGGAAAAATCACTCAGCATATTTTTAAAATCATTTTATTAGGGGCTCATACTACTTAGCATATCTTAAACTGAAAGAACTCAAGAAAACATTCAAGTCTTGAGGGTAATATTGAAAGATTCTCTGGACAAAATATTGGATGATGCAGGAAGTATCAAAAGGAGATAAAAAGAATACATTGTACCAAAATGAGCTGGTTGACATGCAACCATTTCAAGAGGTAGCATATGAACAAGAACCAATGGTACTGCAGGAAGAAAGCCAAGCTGCACTGAAAGAATTAAGCAAAAACAAGACTCCAAGAATTGATGAAATACCAAATGACATTTTTCAAGAGCTGATGAAGCACTTACTCATCTTCAACAAGCTCTGGACAAATTTATCTATGCCAAGAAATTTGGAAGTGAGCTACCTGGCCTACTGACAGGAAAAGATTCATATTTGTATCCATTACAAAGAAAGGTGACCAAACAAAATTCTCAAATTGTAGAACAATGTCATTGATATCACATCCAACAACAGTTGCAACAGTACATTGACAGGGAGCTGCCAGAAGTTCAGGATGGATTCAGAAGAGGTCATGCATGGAACAAGGGATAGCATTGCTGATGTCAGATGGATCTCAGCTCACAGCAAAGAATACCAGAAAGCTGTTTATTTGTGTTTCATTGACTATGCAAAGGCACTTAACTTTGTGGATCATAACAAAGGTATAGACGGCCTTTTGACGAATGGGAATTCAGAGAACTTCATTGTGCTCATACAGAACCTGTACATGGATCAAGGACCCGCTGTGTGAACACAACAGGAGAATACTAAGTGCTGTAAGATCAGGGGTTGTATGCTCTCACCATAATAACTCAATCTGTATGCTGAGCAAATCATCAGAGAAGCTGGCTTACGAGAAGAATATGGCATCAGGATTGGAGAAAAGCTTATTAACAGTCTCAGATATGCAGGTAATACAACCTCACTTGTTGAAAGTGAGGAGAACTTGAAGAACATGCTGATGAAGATCAAGGATGGCAGCCATTTTTATGGATTACAACTCAATGTGATGACAGCAAAACATACTGGGCTATTAACTGCAAGGTCAGCAGTTAGAAAATACCAGCAGCGGTGGGGCTTTCTACTCCTGCAAAGAGTTATAATCGTGGAAACTCACAGGGGCAGTTCTACTCTGTCCTATAAGGTCACTATGAGTTGGCATCAACTCACTGATAGTGAATTTGGTTTGACTTTTTGGACCAATACACAACATAATGATAAATGGATAAAGATTGAAGTTGGCAAGGATTTCATTTTACTTGGATGCACAATTAACAGTCATGGAAGCAGCAGTCAAGAAATCAAATGACATACTGCATTTGGCAAATCTGCAGGACAAGACCTTTTGAAAGTGTTCAAGCCAAGATATGCCTTTGAGGAATAAGCCATGGTATTGTCAACCACGTATGCATGTGAAAGTTGTAAGTGAATAAGGAAAACTGGAGAAAAAATGATGCATTTGAATGATCTTGTTGGCCAAGAATGCTAAAAAATTACCATGAACTTCCAGAAGAACAAAGGTCTGTTTTCTAAGAGGTACAGCCAGAATCCTCCTTAAGAAGTGAGGATGGTGAGACTTTGTATCATGTATTTTGGACATATTATCAGGAGATGCTAGTCCCTGGGGTGGGGGGTGGGGTTATCATTCTTGGTGAAGATCATCAAAAATGAGGAAGACCTTCAACAAGATGTATTGATACGATGGCTTCAAAAGTGGCTCAAACCTAACGATCGTAAGGCTGGCACATAAGACCGTTTCATTCTGTTGTGCATAAAGTCGCCACGAGGTGGGGTCAATTCAATGACACCTAACAACAGCATGGCATTAACTAGATCATGAATCAACTTTTTTAGCATAATAATAACTTCACTAAAGAAAACCTCCAAATTAACAAGATTTCTGGCTTTTTGTGATTAAAAATTGTCATTCAGCCATCTTTTTAAGATTTTACAAACACGTTTTATGTAAGTGCTATTCAAAGCACTAAGAAGAAAAAATGAATGGAGTTTTAGACCAGGCCTTCCTACCAATTTAAATTGATTCTATCATGGGTGCTGCAGTAAAATTGGAGCATACTTAAATTGGTAAAATATGGATATTCGCAAATGATCACTTCTCCTAAGAAATCATGTGTTGAAACTCTGGGGTAAGGGAGCCTGATTCGAGAGACTAGGTTACTGAGAGGACTGTGGAGAGTTTCACACATTGGAAGCAGTATGGTCAGCCACATTCTTTGAGCTGGACACCTGTTGTTTCTGACTCTCCCAGGCAAGAAATTAGTTTACTTTGCAACACTCCTGCTTTGGTACCCAACACTTTACAAATCCAGGTCCCTTCTGATGTAGCTTCACTGGGTGTAAATGAACTGGGAATACCAGTTCGAAGTCATGTTCTAGGCTAGTAGTGAAAGTTTTACATGCATTTCATTTGTAGAAATTCCTATTTTGTAAGATCATTGACGTCATTGGTTAAAGATACATTCAAATTCAAACTCACTGCCATCATGTCAATTGAGAGACAAAGCAGCCCTGTAGGACAGAGTAGAACCACCCCTGTAGGTTTCCAAGACTGTAAATCTTTACAGGAACAGAAAATCTCATCTTCCTCCTGTAGAGTAACTGGTGGTTTCAAACTACTGAACTTTGGACCTAGCAGCCCACCATGTAATCCATTACGCCACCAGAGCTCCTAAAGACACGTTGGAATATCTCATATATAGTCTATTTTGTAGAGTACAAATTTCCCTAATCCATTATATAGGTACATAATTCATGACTTTTTTGGTGATCTGTTTTTAGATGTCACATAAAAATATCCATGATTGAGTTGGTTTGTTTTCACAGTGTGGTTCAAAGTACCAATTGGGAGGAGGCCCACTTTCTTTGATTTATAAATTATATAAAATAATCCAATAAAATTAATTCTAAACCAAGTGCATGCAATAGGTATGTGAAGGATAGAAAAATTCAGCAGCTTTAGCTGAATTCCTTAACATGCCCCTAGTTGTGTGAGAAAGTGGTCACCCACCTGCTTGTTGTTGAAGAGTAGTGCTCTAAACAGATGTACAGGCCTCTGCTAGCAAATAAGGGTGCCACTTGCCTCATGGGGTGGTTATTTGCATTTAATTAAAATGAGATAAAATGTAAAACAGCTTTATGTTTTTGCTCGCCATATTTCACCTCCTCAAAAGGTACAGGTGGCCAGTGGCTACCATATTGGACAGAGTAGCTATAGAACATTTTTACAGAAAGTTCTGTTAAACATGGGGTGAATTACCCAATAAGAAAGGTACTCACAAGCTCGCTTGTGCTTGCTTACTAATCTGAGTGATCAATTTGACAAGGTGAAATGCAAGTGGTGAAAAAATGCGTGAAACTTTACCACACATTAGTAAGTGAATACAAATACACCCATGCTTGCCTTGTTTCCTGGGTCCTCAATCCTTGCCAAGAAGTGTAACTTTGAAGAGAAGCTTTGGTTCTATAGGAAGTTGCTGTGGAGTGAAGGAGCCAGATTCCAGCTATACCTAGAAATGGAATCTTTATGTAGTAAAAGAATATGAGATTGCTCACTGCCAATGAATAAGTAAGCACAAGTAAACCCATGCTTACTTTGCTCACTGAGCACTCCAACACTAGACAGAGATCCCTTTGGGAAAAAGGAAAAATGGCAGAAACATGTCTTCCTTAACCTTTTCCCTTCACGCTATACCTGTGCACACACACACAGAGTTGCATCTGGATCATGGTACATCATCTTACACTGGTGTTGCTTTCTCAACTCTCGCTGCCATCGAGTTGATGCCGACTCAAGAGACCCTGTAGGACTGGGTAGAATGGTCCCTGGGAGTTTCTGAGTCTGTAACTCTTTACAGGAAGAAGATAAAGACTCCCCTTTCTCGGCAGAGCAGTTGGTGGTTTCGAACTGCCACCTTGCAGTCAGCAGCCCAACCTGTAATCACCGTGCCACCATGGCTCTTCTTGTCTTGCTTTAAGATTGGCGAAATAAACCCTGAATCGACTGCTGTCATGTAATGGATGGCTTCCGATAATTTTCACTTGTGCAGGAACAGATGTTTACCGGAGAAGAATCACTTTTGAATGCATGGTACTTTATTTAAACAGACACATATACAATGTTGACAAAGGGAAACAAACAGTTCCGGTTCAACAAAGTGGCTGCATGCATTGATGGATGGGCAGCATCTGGTTTCACAGTATGAAGTGTGGGTCGAAAAAGAGGACAAGACTGGTGAGCAAGTTTCACTTCCCCTCACTACATAGAAGGATCTTCCAGCCTGTAAGACAGAAGAAGCAAAGCATATAAGAGAAACTGCCCAACTTCCTGAGAGGCTACAAAGAAGGAGACCTTCAATCCCGAACGAAAAGATGATCAGGAACTGTTGCCAAAGCTCCTGCTGGGATTCCACATAGGAGGCCAAAGGAATGATGGCAGGATGGGAGATAATAGCATTGTCTACAAGGTCCCAGATGGGTAGCTCTCACATCAGTGAGTCTCAGGCAAGTCTCCGAGGGAGCATTTAAAAGGCTTTGTGTGTAACAAACAAGTCAAAAAGAACTTTGTAATACTTCTGAAGAACAAAACCACAGAAATCACACAAAACTCTAACAAGAGCGTTAGTATTGCTCCACTCTTTGAGTACACTCCTTTGTTTTCCTGTAAGTCTTTTATGTAGTAAGATGCTATTTATGAGACTATAAAGAAGCCTATTTAATAAAACAATACTCATAGGCCACTTCAAGGTTGTCAAGTTGCACCTCCTTTTAATTGTACGTGGTTGAGGGCGTCAAAGTGCAGTTAACTTTATTTCATGAACTAGCCATGTGACTGTAAACAAAAACCAGCCAGGTTCTAAGCAGACCTGAATTGTTATTTTCCTAACTCTTAGTAGCATCACCGACCCTGAACTTTTAAAATACAATCAGACGTTCAAAGGCAATTTATGATTTTATTTTTTTTTAATTTATGATTCTAGTATTTGAATCTTCCTTCTGCTGCTCTTGTACTTTGTTGCACCCCAAGAATCTGTGTGTTTGCTGTTTAAGTCTGGCCTATTACTTCCAGAGGCAAAAGTTTTACTCAGGTTTTAGTCCAGAATTTCCTTCTTGAAAAGCCAATCAGAACACTTGGTGCTGGAAGCTGACCCTTCACAGGAGAACAGAGGTCTGGTGGGTGGAAGAGAAGGGAGTGGCTCGGCGAGCCCTAGGATTCTCTGCGGAAACATCCCAATGAAGAGGGGCACATTCAAGTCACTGAGCAAGAGTTCTAGTGACCTCTTCTGGGGAACTTGGTCCTTGGCATGGTTGAGCTTTGAGTTAAAGGCCGAAGAGCAACACAGGAAAGGACAGACTTGTGCAGTGTGACTTTACTGTTGTGGGTAGAGGCCGGCATGGCAAGGACCCAGGTGGGGCATACAAACTGAAGAGGCTCAGGCAGCTTTTTAACAGCACTTCTTACCCAGGGGGCACCAGACCATCCCAGGTCAACACTTGGTTGGCACGTCTTCCTAAATCAGCTCCACACTCTGAAAAAATGTTCCAAGGCTATAGACAAGCTCTTTAAGAACAAAACTTCATTCAACATGCATCCATGAAAAGCAATACATTCTGGTATAACATCAATTGAGCTAAAATAGAAGTCAGCCAGTACACCAGAGGACCCCAGGGTTTATCAGCAGCTTTGGATAAAACTAGGAAGGCTAGAGCTAAGTCCTACCAGTGACACTCCCTAAGACATCTCTACATCCAGAAACCAAAGACCAAACCCACAGCCATGAAGTCCACTGAGACTATAGCAACCTTATGGAGGGTTTTAGAGGCGCTACTAAATCTTCACAGAAGCAGACAGCTTCATTTCAATCCCTCAGAATGGCTCGTGGGTTTGAACTCCCTACCATGCTTAGCAGCCCTACGCTTACCTGCCAGCGCCACCAGGGCTTGTTGACATACATCATGGAGTCCAAAACGATGACGATCCCAGCGAAAGCTGGGCAAAGCTGGTGTTTCAGCTAAAGTTAGAAACTACTAGATTTTAACACAGTTAGACAAGCTATAGAGACACATTTCGGAGGCAAACATTGCTCCTATTTAATATTTTCATTAGAGTGCCTAATAATTTCAGAGCCCTGATGGATTAGGCATTGGGCTGCTAACATCAAGGTCAACCGTTTTAACCCAATAGCAGTTCCACAGGAGAAAGATGAGGCTCTCCCCTTGAAAACCCTAAGGAGTCGGTCCACTTTGTCTTATAGGATTGCTATGAGCCAGACTTGGCTCGATGTCAGTTGGTTTGTTCTTTAACTCATCCTTTAGTCTTGAATATATTTCCCCACAGAAGTTTAGATTCTCATCAGAGTCCGTGCAATGAAAGATCTGATCCATACCATTGTCATTTCGCCTCCCCAAAGCCTACCTGGTCTTGAGACTCCAACTCCAGCATCTCCCCACCAGAGCATTCACCAAACTTTCCCTCCACTCAGCACCCCAGGTTCTCCAGCAATGGCTGCAGCACAAGCCTTTTCTTACCTAATTGTGGGGCCATCTTCTGTGCTCCCTCTCATCAGCAGGTCTGAAATCAGTGTCTCGGGGCTGGATCGTTTTCCATATCTTTAAAAAAAATTTTTAAGTATTTTTAAGCAAATTAAAACCCAGGGATTGTTTCCCATTTTAGTTGTTAAAACATAAAAATCCTTTGTAGTTGATCATCAGCTAACAAGTGACTTTGTAAGGATCTGAAACATACAGTACCTGGTACCGGAGTACTGTAATTTTGTAACTAGGTAGCAGGAAATAATGGTGCATCAGAGTATGGTTTTATTTTGTTTTTTATTTCTACTACAGGCATGCAGTTTGCTGTGCTTCACTTTACTGCACCTCCCAGATATTGCAATTTTCATAAATGGACGTTTTTGGCAATCCTTGGGTGAGTGAAACTATTGGTGTCATTCCCACCCCCACCCCACCCCCATCCCCCAAAGAAAGTGTGCTCACTACCGGGCTCTGCATACATTTTGATAATTCTCATAATATTTCTTTTTTCTTTCTCTATTTTGTCAGAATACTGTTATATACTTAATAGGCTACTGTAGCCTGTAAACAACTATGCACACACACTAGGAAATGAAGAAACCGGTGACTCGCTTTATTGCAATAATTGCCTTATTGCGATCTGGAACTGACCTGCTGTTTCGCTGAGGCATGTCTGCATTCATTAATTTATATAGTTCTGGTGCATCAAACAATCCAAAGCCAAGCTCACCGTCATTGAGCTGATGCCAACTCATAGTAACCCCATAAGGCAGGGTATAGAACTGGCCCTGTGAGTTTCAGACACTGTTAATAGGAGTAGAAAGCCCTGTCTTTCTCCTGCAGTGTGGCTGGTGGTCTCGAACTGATGACCTTGAAGATCTCCACCCAATGTGTAACTACTATGTACCAGGGTTCCTGGCAGTTCTTGTGCAAAGAGCAGTTTAAATTCTAATGAAGAGAACAGATAGGATTTTTAAATGAACACTAAAAGATAAACCACACACTGACACTCTAGACTCATTTGGGTCTAAATATCAAATGCCTCATGTCTAAGAAACAAAATCACACTCCCTGCTTAACTGAGTTTGGGGACGATACAGTGTGTCACATGCTCTGAAAGTAAAATACAAGTGGAAGCCTCTGTTGTCTAAATGTCCCCATCCTTACAAAGTCTTGAAGATTCTGGGTCCTATATACTCTATTTTTTATTTGAAGTGCTCAAAGTTAAAAGCCTTTTCTGATATAATCTGATTTTAACCTGCCCTGTACATATAAAGAATCTTACCGGTCCATGGAAATAGGCTGAAGATTTTCCTCTTTCCTCTTGTAACAGAATACATATATAGTTGGAGAAAGCTGAGGCTACCTGTTCCCATAAAGATCTTGGAGACCCTGGGGAGTAGTTCAACTCTCTAAGGTTCTATGAGTCAGAATCCACTGACTGGCAGTAGTTTTGTCAGGATGTGGATGGGACAAGAAATGAATGCAAGGCTGTAGTTACTGTCCACTAGTATAAGTATGCTCTGCTCTATTCGAGGTGAGTAACTGGCTTCTCAATCTCTTCCTCCAGCCTTTCCCTGATATAGCACAAGCACGCATGTGTGTGAGACACACACTGTGACACACACACACAGAGTTAAAGTTGACCCTTTTATTCCTAACTATAGATTCTTCGAACTTTTTATTTCTAACTATATTTTTAAAGCTTTTCCCCCTTTCTTTCCATTGGTCACCAACAGCAGGAGCCTTCACAGAAGAAAAATTCGGCTGGCAAGAATTGGATGACTAATCGGTAAAAATAGTCAAAGTTGACAGAGGGGACTTTAACTGCATAAGCGACACAATTAAATCTAAATTTTTGGTGAAGATTGTCCTCTCATCGCCCCTTTGCTGAGACAGGAAGAAAGCAAAACCCACTTGGCTGCCACCCCAACATTTACAAGACCCTCTCTAAAATTTTCTGGAGCTGTGACATTCAAAGCTGCTAACAGGTACTTATTTATTCTGTCAGTTGATTTTAAAACTCTGGGGGCACCTTAAACTCCTTTGTCTTCATTATGCTCCTGGTAGTGAAAGCAGTAGCAAATATGTTCTCCAATTTACCAGTCCAGGAGCTCGTCCATAACAACAGGATTTGCTCCATTCTAAAACAGGTTCCACCCAGAACATCACACACGAGATCCTCTTGAATTAATTCTGGATTACCTTGTGTATCTACTATGCTTCTAACTTTCAAAGATTAAGTCTCAAGGACAATGATTCTCAAAACCTGACTGCCCATTAAAATTGCCAGGGGGCTTTTAAAACAACACAAAACAAAACCACCAAAGCCCAGGCCACACCCCGAGATCCTGATTTCATTGGTCCCAGTGGAGCCCAGCGCCAGCATATTTCAAAAGCTCCCCAGGTGATCTCAGGGGCAGCCAAGGAGAAGAACACAGATATGGGGCAGACCTTCTCTATGTCTGCAAGACTGACCTTAAGCCCGTGGTTTTTTGTGTGTTGTAGATTCCCTCATCTCTACCCACTAGATGCCAGTAGTCCCCCTCCATTCTGACAACCAGAAATGTTGCTGGATTATGCTCAATCCACCCCCACCACCAAAAGGAGGGGCATCGGAGGTTTAAACTCACCCTGGCGAGAAAAACTGCTCTAAATGGACAGCGTGAGAGTCTCCAGGTGCTATGAACGGTGAACAGCGTCAGCTACTGAGCGAAGGGTTGCAATTTCAAGTCCTTCCAGAGAGACCTCGGAAGAAAGGCCTGGCAATCTACCTCCAAAACAACCAAAACAAACGAACAAACCCAGAAATAGCCATTGGAAACCTACGGAGCATCGTTCTACACAGCTCTACTCTGATACCGTTTTGGGGTCACCATGAGTAGACGTCAACTTCATGACTCCTGATTTTTAGAGGAATGTGTTCAAAGAAAAAAGACAATCAGAGGCACAGACAGCTATAAATATGGCTTTAAATCGTGGCTTGAGGAAAGGGAGGGAATGAGACCTTACCAGACTACCATTTACACCAAAAGAACACATATTGTAAAAATGGACACAGCCAAAATGCAAGGTGCGCGTAGTCAAGGATGGACGCCAAGCAGATTCGAGGGGGCGTGTGTGGGGGAGGCGCGCTGGGAGGACAGAAAGGAGAGGAAGGGCTCCAAGCAGGTCATAGGTTCTAAGAAGGAACTGATCCTGAAAGTGAGACCATTTCGCCTCCATCTCTGCTGACTGAGGCGGATTCTTCTAGTGTCACACTCGGGAAAAAGTAAGTAAAGTGAGGACTTCCGGAGGCCAGCCCTTCACTTTCTGGTGTGGCTGCACACAGAGAAGTCGGGTCATTGTTGGAGAAAGCAAAGAAAGGTCCAGACACTACACATCTCCAACCTAGCATTTGCATCCCTCCATTTCCAGGAAACTCAGGTTCCTGTCCCATCACTGAGGATGGGGCTGAGATCGTACTGTTGCCGGAGAGGACCACATTTAAGGAAAATCAATAGGCTGGCTTCAATTCCGTCACTCTTAAAACAAAAGGTTTTTTTGTGAATGCCCTTAGCTTCAAGATCTATAAAACGAAGTTCCTGATACTTACCTCCAAGATTTGAGTTAAAGACAAAAGGAGATAATGCCTAAGAAAGTGTTTTGAAATGTCTTTTAGACATGTACACAGTGGGGAATGGCAATCGCCTTTGCAGACATAAGTTCCCCTGTTTGTTGTGATATAACTGAAACAATCCATAAAGACCTCCCTTTATCTTTCACTTGCTTGTATGACAGCAGACCCGAGAGGGTGAAGCACCAAACTTCCTACAGAGTCTCTTAGTGTATGTAATAGTGTCGCTTCTCCCTGATGCAAGTGATCACATTTCAAAAACCAACACGATTTCATTATGATATTTCCACGTGTTTCTGTTAACTATATAAGTGTATAAAGTTGCTCTTTGGAATGCCATCCACCCTTCCCAATTACAAAAGAAGAAGCATTATTTAAAAAAATAAATTCTACTCCCTTAAGATCCTATCCAACTATTCTCTGCTTTGTAAACAGAGAGATTGTGGTATCAAAAAAGTAAAACATAAAAATCCAAATTCTTTATAAAACACAATCTAAACATGTTACTCTCACCTCATGGCCATGAGGTCAATTCTGATTCACAGCAACCCGCTATGACGGAGTCGAACTGCCCGTGATTCTTTATGGGAGTGGAATGCCTCCCCCTTCTCTAGCAGATGGGGGTTGCCGACCTGCTGGCTTGGTGGTCCGCATAGTCGGAATCTACTGGATGGCATTAAGTTTACCTAAGCAGAATGCGTGACAGTTATGCTTTAAAGGGTTTATGCAATGCAACTGACTAAGGTCATTTGATTTGTCATTGAAATAAGACATGAAATGATTTCTCTAGGAGAAAACCATTTTGGAAATAATATTTAAATCCTATATTGCCTATAAAATTATTTACATTTTGACTTTTTTGCTTAATATTCAATGCTGAGAGGAAAGGTATTTGATTTTGCCTTTCTGAGAGTTCAGAGAAAACATTACAATTTCTTGGATTCTCTGAAAACCCTGGATTCATCCCAGAGTGACTAGATCTATATAAATCTATTCTTAATGAAGCACCAAGTGAGCTTGGCCCTTTCAGAAGTCACCTGCTGTCAAATGGAGACCCACTGGTTGCAAAAGCTACATGTCCAAACACCAGGGCTGGAAGATTCAAGTTCAGGTCTGAAACTGCAAAAACCACTGGAAAGAAGGGGGACAAGGGGGTGGGGAATTTGCCCTTTTGATCTTTACCTAAATACTCAAGGCAATTCGTTCGCCCTGGGCATGTCCGAATGCTAGACAGTACCTTTGGCGGCTCATCCTTACCCTTTTGCTCGGTTTCTTTGCTTGTGGGACAGTTTGCTGTTTCTTAACTAAGCTGGTCACCTGTCTCCCTCGGGCACTTCCTTGGCAAACTTCCAACCCTTTCCTCTAGGTCCTCCTTGTCACCCAGCTTACTAGATAGACCCCCTTTAAAGGAGGAAGGAATGATCAGCCAATTCGGGAACCTGAATCTGGGAGTCACGATTTTGTGACTGCAGCTGCAGCCTGAAAGCCCCCAGAGCCCTGCACCCAGAGGGACTCAGCGCTGAGAAGTGTCTGATACTGTCCAGGCCCTGGCTTACAGAATGGCAAAAGCAAGGGTGGCTGGGGTCTGTCCCAGGCAGCCCACCCACCTCTGCCTGGTGATGAGGTTGATGTAGTGCCGCAGCGCCTGGTAGTATTTGGCCATGTCCTCCGCAGACGCGTTGTCACCCGGGTGTTCCGGCTTGGAGGGGTACGCCTCGACCAACACGCTCAGGCACACCAGCAGGGCCAGGGCCAGGGTCAGTCCTGAGGATCCCAATCGCTTGTTCCACAGCATCTGGGGACACAGAGGCGGGATGGGGTGGGGAAGGGAGGGTCAGAAGTCCATTGCACACGCACCCCGCACCACCAACCACCACCTCCCACCTGGTCCTCCCAGCATCTCTCCGGAGTACCAACCACCTGGATCACACCGTGCCTCCCCACCAGCTCCGCAGAGGGAACCGCGCGAGGCCAGCACCCTTCAGTGGACTCCCTCCCCTGACCTTGACCTGGCCCCTCTGTTCAGTCCCGGACTGCGCGCCCTGCTGGGCGCAGAGTCCCGATGGCCAGGCCCCCAGGTAGGGCGAGAGAAACTTCCAGCGCCGGTTCAATAAATCAGTGCAACCCCGTGAGAAGTTCTTCCCGTCGGTGGGACGAGCGAGCCTTTCTTAGCCTACTCTCCGCTCCAAACCCCGGCGCCAGAGAAAACGTTCCTCTCCCTGTCCCCGCTCCCCAGGGCGCTGGCGGGGTCCCCCACCGCAGCGGTCCCCAGGGGCGGCAGGGCCAGCTTGGTGGAGGACAGGGGGCACGGAGAGAAGGCAGCTTGGCGCAGGACATCAGGTTGGATCCCGGGGGGCGGCAGGGCCCCCCAGTAGCCCGGCTTGAGGACCCCTGCACCTGGTCTCTGCCCCGCCGCGGCGGACCTCCCTCTGGGACGTCCCGCCGAGACCCGCGAGGAGATGGCCAGCGGCTCTGGGTCGGGGTGTGGGCGCTCCCTTCGTTTTCAGGAAAAACGACCCCTGGGGGCCCGTCCAGCCCGAAGAGCCCCGGAAAGGCAGGGTGCAGCCCGGGGCGCCGCGACGCGGACGGGCTGGCGCGGGGAGGACGGAGC